GTTCATTTTTGTGTCCTGTTCTTTACATTGCCCTAATACAGTCCCTCCAGGAATTTTTACTGGTGATCTGAAGTCATTTTATACTCTCACTGCGATGCGTCCATTCTTAGCCAGGGTTTTACCAATAAGTATGTCCGGTGTAGAATCTTGCGCCACAATATCCATTAATTTTTGCCACACAACTGCTTCTGACTTTGATGGAATCAGCTCGCTGCCTTCTAAGATCACTTGCTTGGTGCTGTACGTGGAATTATAGCCAATGCTTAGTGGTACCTCCATGTTCTTATATTCCACGATGTTGTTATTCAAGTCGATCTTGATACCTTGGTCCATCAAGAAGTCCACTCCTATGATTACCTCATCTACAACCTGCGCGATTATAAAGCCGTGTGGCACCGTCACATTATCTACTGTGACCTCACACGTTACTTCCCCCAATACTTGGCTATCCTCACCAGTCGCCGTTTTCAATATTGCTCCAGGTAATGGTCTCACTTCTTAAGCGATCAGATCAGTTCGAATAATGGAGTGTGATGCGCCCGTATCCACTGTTAGTATTCGCTCTCGTCCATCGACATATCCACCAATGGTAGTGTTGCTCGGTTTTCTGCCAATTTGCGATACGGAGATTAAGGGGCTTTTAATTGCGGGAGCCAGCTTACGCCCCTTTAGGCTAGCTCGTTTTAGTTTAACGACTGAGAAGTTGATGGTTCATCTTCCTCTGCCTTCCGCTTTCGCTGTACCTCCTGTCTGCTGGAACTTGTTTTGCATTCACGTGCTCTTGAAACCAGAATGATTCATCTCTTCTAGCAGAGTTCTCAATATTTCTGTCATCACAACTGGTGTTTCAACCTCTACATTATTGACTTTGTAGGATGGTCTGCTTATGAGCGCCGCCATTTCAAGTGTCTGTGCATACGCAACAGTTTCAGCGAATGTCAACTTTGGATTCGCATATGTCTCTCGCTTGGTGTACACGTCTTTTATTCCGCTGATGAGTCTTTGTATGTTCACCCTAAATGAGCCAATCTCTCAACTTCCGAAGCATATTCCTGCAGAGATTCGTTGGATTTTTGCTCGCGTTTTTCTAACTCCATCTGGTAAATCTGTCTTCTGCGTTCGCTACCATAGCGTCTTTCCAGGGCTCGCATCAATCCGTCGTAATCATTTCTTTCGTTTACGGATATGGTTTGCAAAAGTTCGACTGCAGGTCCTTCCAACGCAACGAATAATGCAGCGGATTTTTCCTCTATGCTCTAGTAGTTTGTTTCAGCTGTCTTCTCAAATTGGAGCTTAAAGACTTGAAATGGCATTTCCCGTCAAAACATGGTGTTTCCACCTTTGGAGCGTTCACTGAAACGGTTGGACGATTTAGCTGCAATTCCCGGACACGACTTTCCAATGCGTTGACTTTGGTCTCAATTAGATCCTGCCTTTCCTCAAGTTCCGCATTGTTCCTCACCAGATTTTGCTATATTTGCACTATTGTTCCTTCCAATGATGATATCTGCTCCCTCTGTTCAACCATTTGTGATGTAATGCTGGCTCTCATTTCAGACATATTTTGTGCGATGCTGGCGTTCATTTTTGTGTCCTGTGCATCCAACTTTTGTGAAATCGCAGTCAATAACATGGTCATGTCAATACCCTTAGATGGACCAGGAGCCTTTTCTTGAATCTTACTTGATGGTGATTCCAACTCCTTCACAGAACCATCAGCCTCTTCCTTGTCAATGTCCTTCCCGGATACATCTTCATCCTCGCGATGAAACTCGTACTGGTTCAAGTCGATGCCTTCAGATTCTATTGCTTCTCGCAATCTCGATTGCATCTCTGCCTTTTTTCCAGTTGTCGACAATCCTCGCTTTGCCAACTCCCTCTTGACAGGTGGTATCGTTAAATCCTAAATCTTTACCATTTTGCAAATTTTATCCTTTGGGATTTATTTAACAATCCCACTTCTGACACCAATTGTTACGATTTTACTAGATCAACCTCGATGATTTTCTGAATCCTTCGGGTACGATCTCTGGATTGTTAAATAAAAATTCGCCAACTTAGTTAACCAATGTCCTTTATTTTCTCAGTAATTCGCAATTCAATTACAATGCATTTTACTAGTTATAATCACTTGTATAAACTTTCACAATCTACTTTACTTAAAAGTGATTTCCAACACGTTTACTTTAGGACTCAAATAGTTTATTCCGCTATACTCAATGTTGTTACCAACGAGTTCACTTTGCCACTGACTTCTTGGCAGCTGAGTGTCGCCCTTAAATAGCAGTCGGCTGCTCGCAGACGAAAGCGTAGAAGCATCGAGTTGTTCGCTATCGAAGGTTCTTCTTTTATCGTTTCGAGAATGTACTAGTTATCGGCTTCTCTCTTTCATGTGACATTCGCCTCGCATTTTCACAACAATATCTTTAAATATCGGGCCCCACGTTGGGCGCCAATTTGTCACCTCCATTTTGCTATATATATGAGCGCATGTTCATACGTACATACCTACAGTGGCTGTGGGTCAAGCGCCTACCAACAACCACACACGTCAAAACAAACTACCGCACAAAAAGGAGATGACAAAAACTAACAAAGCGACCGGCCAGCTTAGTGAAGTAGGCGTGGGTCGCTGGCTACATAAACTAACAAAATCCAACGGGGTGAAAAACAACACCAAGTGAGTTTTGCCAACGCGGTAAACAAATAGCACGACAACAAGAATTTAACAACAGAGTCAAGCTACAGAACAATAAAACAAAACATGTTT